GATGGCTTTTGCTTTTGTTGTCATACTATCCAGAAATGCAGCAGAAGTTGAGACAAGAGATTGAGTCCCAAATCGGAGACCGAATGCCAACACATGAGGACAGGAATCGATGCCATTATGTCATGGCTTTCATTGCTGAGACACTTCGCGTGAAAAATGTGGTGCCGTCCGGTGTTTTTCATAGGGCTGTTGTCGACTCTACTATCGGTGATTATAATATAATTTTTATATTTATTATTATTTTTATTAAACATATTTTCAATTATGTTTTAAAAACATATTTTTACTATTATAGGAAACTATAGCATACCGAAAGATACCAAGGTTTTTGTATATCAGGGATATATGCTTAAAAATACGAAACACTGGACTAATGCCGAAGAGTTTATGCCCGAGAGGTTTTTAGACATGGATCAGTTCATTACAACCCGTCCCAAAGCGTATATACCCTTCGGTTTGGGACGTCGTGTCTGTTTGGGTGAGAAGTTAGCCATCGCTAATCTCTTCCTGGTTTTGGTCCGATTTCTTCAGTCCACACAAGACTATGATATAGTCCTCGACAGTCATAACGGCATAGAAGCGGATCCCAAAGTATTTGATGCCTTCCCCAAAGTATTTGATGCCTTCACTCCCAAAGATTATAAAATAAGTTTCAAAACAAAAGTTAAATGAAAATTTAATTTAATTTATTAATTGATTTACAATATGTGAGCAAAATTATGTCGACACGTATAGCTTGAAATATAATTATAAAATAATAGTTGTAATAAAATTAAGTTTACAAAGTTGAAAATAAAATGTACTGCATATATTTGCATAGGATTTGTTACAATTATATAACTTATAAATTTGTATAAATATATATTTGTTGTAAATGATTATGATTTAATTTTATGTAGTAGTTCATATTTTTTGCAAAATGTATTGTCAAAATAGGTTAAATTTGAATTTATCTTTCCAAATATTTATATGACCTGTATTTATGTGACGATATAAACTCGTGGATTGACTAAACCATTTGTTTCAATTACTAAAATTACAATCAAATGATTTTTCTCCCGAATGACAGCATTGTTTGTGTCGATTTAGATTTGATTTATGGCCAAAACTTTTGCCACAATTTTCTTCATTACATTTGAATTTCCTTTCATTCAAGTGAACACAACTTTTGTGTTGTACTAAATTACAAATTTGAGCAAAACTTTTGTTACATTTATTGAAATCACAAATAAATGGTTTTTCTTTCAAATGAATTCGTTTGTGTTTAATTAGACTCGATTTTGTAGTAAATTTTTTATCACAATTTTTTTCATTACATTTGAATTTCTTTTCATTCAAATGAACACAACTTTTGTGTCGAAATAAATCCGATTTTGATGTAAAATTTTTGTGGCATTCATTGAAATCACAAATAAATCTCACATTTAAATGAACGCTATTTTTGTGTTGATATAAACTACAGAAACGTTTAAAAACTTTATTACAATTATTAAAACCACATTTAAATTGTTTTATTTCTGAATGCATTAATTGATGTGATATTAATCTTCTTTTCTCGTTTGTCTTGTATTGACATTTAGGCCAAAAACAGTGGAAATAATCATCAGATTTAGTAATGATATGACAATTGTTTAGCATTT